GGAAGTCAGGACCACGAGGGGTGCACCCACCCACTGAGACAGTGGGGCTGATCTATTGGGAGCTCATCAAGGCCAGCTGGACTGAGACTGAAAAGGCATGTGATCAAACCGGACTCTCTGAACATAGCGGACAATGAGGACTGATGAGAATCCAAAGACAATGGCACTGGGTTTTGATCCTACTGTATGTACTGCTTTGTGGGAGTCTAGCCAGTTTGGATGTTCACCTTCCTAGACCTGGATGGAGGGGGGAGGACCTTGGACTTTCCATAGGTCAGGGAACCCTGACTGCTCTTTGGACTGGAGAGGGAGAGGGAAAGGAGTGGGGGAGGGGGAGAGCAGTGGGGGGAAGGGGAGAGAAGTGGGAGGAGGAAGAGGGAAATGGGAGGAGGGGAGGAGACGAAAATTTTTTTCAATAAAAAAAAAAAAGAAAAAAAGATATTTGAAGGAAGAAGGGGACCAGCAAAAGAGGGATGGGGGCAAATAAGAGCACACACACACACATATATAAAAAGATTTCACAGTAATAGTGGAGAGATGGCTCAGTAATAAGATCACATACTTGGCCAGGCAGCGGTGGCACATGCCTTTAATCCCAGCACTTAGGAGGCAGAGGCAGGCGGATCTCTGTGAGTTCGAGGCCAATCTGGTCTAAAAGAGCTAGTTTCAGGACAGGCTCCAAAGCTACAGAGAAACCCTGTTTCGAAAAACCAAAATAAAAGGGGGTGGGGGGCCTGGAGAGATGTCTTAGTGGTTGGAAGCGTTGGCTGCTCTTCCAGAGGATCGGGGTTCAATTCCCAGCACCCACATACCAGCTCTCAACTACCAACTCCAGTTCCAAGGGACCTGACACCTTTACACAGACAGCTATGCAGGCAAAACACTAGTGCATATTTAAAAAGAAAGAAAGAAAGAAAGAAAGAAAGAAAGAAAGAAAGAAAATGTTTTTCTATGAAAAAAATCTAAAAGGCAATGGCTTCTCTCCAAAAAATTACCCGTGGCTGGTGAGGTCACAGACCCTAGAGGAGAAGCTACTATTATCATTTTCCTAAGCCAGTATGATTTTTAACTGCATTCTAAATGTTTATCATAATATCCACAGATGAGTGTGGTTCTCACTCCTCATCAGAGAAGCTTCTTTTTGCAGCAGATAGAGACCATTTACAAAGCCAAGACTTGTTGACAGAGGTTTCTGTCCCTCCTAGTCCCACAGCCGTTCAGTCCCAAAGAACCACACAGAGACCTACATTAATTATAAACTGGTTGCTCTATGAGCTCAGGCTTTCTTATTAACTGTTATATCTTACATTAAGCCGTAATTCTTGTCTGTGTTTTTGCCATGTGACTTGGTCCCTTTATCAGAGAGGCATTCTCATCTTGCTTCCTCTGCATCTGGGTGATGACTGCAGACTGAACCTTTCCTCTTCCCAGAATTCTCCTATTCTGATCATCCCGCCTATACTTCCTGCCTTGCTCCTGGCCAATCACCATTTTATTAAAGCAATACAAGTGACAAATCTTTACAGGGTACAAGACAGAGAACAAAGAAGGGGTGCCCAATACCTACTGGTGCATGTACAATCAACCCCTACACTTAAGGCTCAAGGAACATGATAAAAGGAAGACAAAAGACTGTAAAAACCAGAGGATTAGAACTTCTGCTGCTGCAAGATGTCTTCTCCATCCATATGACAGGTACAATATACCCATGAGATTCAACAATATGGCTGCCTAAACTAGATCTGAACAAAGACACCACCAGTTCAAATGCTAATGTGAAAAACGGAAATCTCACAAGATCCTTCCCCAGATGAAGTGTAACAAGCAACTGATGTCTGCTGAGAGAAAGAGTTTTAGTACTTTCCGGGGATGAGCCACTATAGGTTATGCAATCCCATGTCACTAGCCCTAAACATATGCACACAAAAGAAACACTAATGACTGCGGTCAGGATGTATGTATGACAGAAAAATGAATGAGTGAAAAATGAATAAGAAAGACTAATGAATCCGCAGGTTACATTTATACATACATACATATGTGTGTGTGTATATGTATAATATTATACAAAATAATAACAATTAAAGAAGAGGTCATGAATTTGAAGGAGTTAGAGAAAACAGAAGTAACTGGAATAATTGGGAAAAACAGGAATAAAAACAATTGGGGAAAACAGGAATAATTGGAATAATTAAATGAATTTAAAAGGAAGAGAATGAGTAGCTAGAATAAATGTAAGGTTAAAATTACTCCAGACCTAATATAAAGTGTAGTAATTAAGGTTTATATGTAAAAACAATGAAAATTGTCACGCTGAATAAGCAAATACACTACCTAAAGTAGATAATTTAAGGTCCCTGTTTATCACAGGGATAAACAGGGTATTTCCTATCATTTCTCGATTTCTGATTATTTTATTCCCCACATACTTCTACTCCAGTTGTCTGTAACAAGGAATATAATTGTCCTCGGCAGGATAAGGCTAAAGCAGAGCTTTCAATCTTCATATAACACTTGCTCACATGCATCATGGCGTGCACCTTGGTTTCTATGGCTACAGCCTGCACGCCTCCACCCACAACTGAACTTGCACTGATGCTCCATATAACAAGGGCTAGCATGTTCCCATGTTCTTTACAATGACAGACCAATAATAACAATAATTAGGACAGTGTCTCTGGGAAGTTCTAAATACTTTCTACATACCCATGAAGAGGGTGGTTACAACACATGCCTATGTTCTGTATAGTCTGTGTTCATCTTGTATCACACAGTTGTATTGGGACATATCTACTAAAGTGATGGCATAGCTCTAAATCAATCCATTCCCACTAAGTACTCTGAATTCTCCTTTCAAAATGACTCATTTTAAGAAAAGAGGGAAGGAAAGTTTCACTTGCAAAATAATGTGATAAGCCGTGCGGTGGTGGCGCACGCCTTTAATCCCAGCACTTGGGAGGCAGAGGCAGGCGGATCTCTGTGAGTTCGAGACCAGCCTGGTCTACAAGAGCTAGTTCCAGGACAGGCTCCAAAACCACAGAGAAACCCTGCCTCAAAAAACCAAAATAAATAAATAAATAAATAAATAAAATAAATAAGTGATAAATGCATTTCTAAAATCTCTAATTATATATTCAATAATAATATTGAAATTTTTTTAATTAAATTTTTGTTATATTTGTTTTATTTTATGTGCTTGAGTATTTTGCTTGCATGTATCTCTGTGTGCCAGTTGAGTGCCTGGTGTTCACGAAAGTCAGAAGAGGGCATTTGATCCCCTGAAACTAGAGTTATGGGTGGTTGTGAACTGTATGTGGGTGCTGGGAACCCAACCCAAGTCCTGTAGGTGCTCTTAACCACTGAGCCATCTCTCAAGCCCAACACTGAAACGCTTATTGGAGAAGGGACAATTTTTAGAAGAGGCTGTCTGGCTAGCTTTAATTATCAACTTGATATAATCTAGAATAAAAATGGGAAGAGTGCCTCAATGAAGTCCTGTTTACTCTGGGTAAGCCTGTGGGCACATTTGTGGCAGAAGGTCTTAATGGTGTCAACTGCTATGAAAGGCACCATTCCGTAGGCAAGGGGTCCTGAGCTATGTAAGGGTAAGAAAAGCAAGCTGAACACACATGAGCATACATGTGTTTATTTTTCTCTGGTCTTGACTATGGACGTGGTGTGATAAGCTGAACACAAGCAAGCATGCATGAACATACATGCACTTATTTTCCCTGGTCTGGCCTGTGGACGTGCTGTGACAAGCTGCTCCAAGTCCCTGTCACTGTGACTTACCCACAATGATGGACTATAACCTGGAATTATGAACTAAAAGTAAACCTTTTTCCCCTAAGTAGCTTTTCCCAGGAGATCCCGTCACAGCAACAGAAAAGAATAGAACAGAGACTAATTACAAAAGTTATTTTTGATACTTCAAGAATCAGAACACAAATATGAAAAATTCAGAAGTTCATAAGAAATAAGGAGTTTTTAAAAGATACAAGTTGTTAAAAAATGTTAAGAAACTTGTTACAAGTCTTTAATGGGGGAACCGTAAGTTTGAGGTTTACAGTGAAAATATAACCTTGAAGATGATACTTAGGGGGAACATTATTACCAGAAGAAATTTCGCTGAAACAAAAGCTCTGATTTCTACAGACTAAAAGCAGGAAATAAGTTTGACTATTCTACAGCAAGTGAACATTTAAAAAATCTAGAAGTCGCTCCAAAACCAGAGAAACCCTGTCTCGAAAAACCAAAAAAAAAAAAAAATCTAGAAGTCAAACTTGGTGGTGTACACAGTAAGCCCAGCACTCAAGACAAAGGGTCACAAGTTCAAGACCTGGGCTACAGAACAGAAATTCTCTCAAAAAAAAAAAAATTCAGTAGAATTCATTAATTGAGCATCTTCAGGCTTTTTTGACAAAGTAGTACAGTAAGCTGCATTTGTTAACATCTATCTATTTTTAAGTAGTATAGTAAGCTGTACTTGTTAAACAAATTCAGCTATTGCAAATCATTCGTGATAGCATTGTGTTCACCAATTTATTCAATAAATATCTATCGAGCACTAAAAGCAAGGTTCAGTTTTCCTGGTATAAACATGATGAGTAAACACAGACGGACGGACGGACAAGTGGGTTGATGGATATGAATTCACAGAGAAATGTGCAGACAGGTGGAAGAATAAACAGGAAGGGAAAAGAAAAGAGAAGTGGAATTATTTCCATTATACCAAATAAATATATTTGGTATAAATAAAACAGGTAACTAAAGTTTCATTCAGGGTTTGTGTCCATTTTTTCAAAATACAAGAATAGACTTTTGATTCTGATTATGAGCCATAAACTGCTGCTTCCAAAGCCATTCTACCCAGTGGGGGAAAGTCACAACAGCCATTAAAGCACATTTGTCTTACATTTACAATAATGTATCTGGGAGGAAAGATCAGGTACATGAGAATAAATAGATATATATTTTAGTAAAGTTACCACTAGACATACCTTTCAGATAAAAAGCTCTTGTGATGATTTACATTCTGACAAGACTCTAAGCTGCCATCAGATGATGAAGAAAGTTGATCTGACTTCAGGTTGGCTGTACCACTCAAACTGGCCTCAGATATAGGTGGGACCTTTAAGTATTTTCTTCCTAACTCCGTTCGCAGGATATCCGTCAATATAACTCTGGGTATCCTGCCACATAGAATGACAAACACTGTACTGTACTAGAGGTTTTTTTTTGGGGGGGGTAGAAAAAGAAAAGAAAGAAATGTGCCCCATGAAGTTGAATTTTCAAACATTGTCACTTTAGTGCAAGTCAGCTCTTTTAGAATTGTAACAGTCAGAATTCAACACACGGAAACTCAAAATTTGGAGTAGATACAATCTTTTGTTTCGAAAACTACTGTTTCTTACAAATTATGGGACAGATTATCACCATGTGACTGTATCTTTAACTTTACTAACAAATACTATGGCAGTACTTAAATGTTAACCAATTTTTCTCAAAAAAAGCTTTTTTCCAGTATTTATCAAAAACACATATCACCACAAACTAATCCATGAAATTTATGTTTTCATTTAGCAGAAAGGTCCTTGATAAACACTTGTGATCACCAAATGATGAATGCTACATCCAATAAGAAAGACAACATTCAGATTATATCCACAGTAATGCTACATTCCACAAATGAAACAGTTCTTATACTTACAGCAATGTTTATATTAATATTATAATAGCAGCAAGTGAGTCAGCAGATAGGTTAAATGTTTAGAAATGTACTTTTAAATATTTAAAGTTTTCTAAATTGGTGGACTCTATATCACATATACTGTATGTCTTTATGTCTTGTACCTTCATAATCAAAAACCAGGAGCAGAGTCGGCTTGATTACTCAGCTTTCATGGTGAACGAGTAATGTGTCGACCCACTATAAAGATGTCCTCAAGACCACTTTCTGACTAGCACGTGCAAAGTCTAGGTTTGACTCCTGCGCAGGAGATGGGGGAAAGATAACTTGACCCCACTGAGATTTTCAAGTCAATTGTTTTCATTTGCCAGAGGCAGGGGAAGTTTGGTTATTTTTTCTGTTTGTTTGTTTGTTTGTTTGTTTTTATTTTGTTTTGCTACTGTATTTTTAAAATACGTATGTAATTATTTTACTTGTGTATAGTGGAAAGTCAGCTGCCCTGGATCTGGAGTTACAGATGGTTATAAGACACTTGATGTGGGTACTGAAAACCAAACCTGGGTCCTTTGCAAGAGCAGCAAATGTTCTTAAACACTAAACTTTCTTTCTAGCCCCAACTACTGCTTTGTTTTATTTTGTTTTGTTTTAAGACATGTTCTCATTTTGTTGTCCAAGCAGGCCCCAATTTGAGAGTCAATCCATTTGGCTTCAGCCTCTCCAGTAGCAGGGTAGAGAGTACAGACAGGTGTTTGTTATCAACGGATAATTATCATTTTGTAAAGTGCTCTTGTTTCTCCTTTATCAGATACCCCCACCTCCCCTTAACTATAACAAATATGTAGCTAACATACTTTGCTGATATTTTGTGGAAATAAGGGATATATTTTGAAAAGGATTAAGTACTTTTGCTTAATTAAAAAGGTCAACTTCACTGAATTTTGTTGAATATTCAGAAGTACTATTTACTTTTACTATGTTTTACATTATGTTCCTTTCACTATATTCCAGACCATATAAGATGCAAGTATGATAGTATACCCATTGAAACAGTTTGCCTGAGCTAATGGGAGCTCACCAACTCTGGCCTGACTGAGAAGGAACCATCATAGGACCAAAATGGACCCTCTGAATGTGGGCGACAGTTGTATGGTGGGGGCCAACTGTGGGGCCACTGGCAATCAGACCAGGATTTATCCCTACTGCTTGTTTTGGCTTTTTGGAACCCATTCTCTTTGGAGGGATACCTTGCTCAGCCTAGATATAGTGGGTTGGGCCTCGGTCCTGACTCAAAGCAGTGTGCTATTTTGTTGACTCCCCATGGGAAGGAAGCCTTACCCTCTCTGAGGAGTGAATGGGGGATGGGATGGGGGAAGGTGAGGGAAAGTGGAGGGAGTGGGAACTGGGATTGGTATGTAAAATGAGAAAAGATAGGTTTTTTTTAACTAATTAATTAATTAAATTTTTTTTTCAAAAAGATGCAGGATGTTAGAGCTTTAGGACTAGTGAGATGGCTTGGAAACCCGAGTTCAATTCCCAGATCTCACATCGACGTTGCCCTCTGACCTCCACAGATGTGCTGTAGTGTGTGCACGTGAGCAGTCCTCCCTCATCATTTACACACACACACAAATGACAAACAAAATCGGCCACAAATACTAACTGTAAATGAGTTTCTATTTTAAACACTGAGCAACCCAACCTCCCAATTCTTCTAAGTAGCTCTTTCCTGACTGCCTGCTGTCTTTGGGCATTTGCTTTTCATTCTGTAACAGTGAATTATGGGTAACTAAGTACTTCTCCAGGTAGGTACTTCAGGAAATCCTTGAATATCTATTTCTAGTACAACAACCATTTAAAAAAAAAAAACAGTTACAATGGGGACTAGAGAGATGGCTCAGAGGGTTAAGAACACTGGCTGCTCTTCCAGAGGTCCAGTATTCAATTCCCAGCAACCACATGGTGGCTCACAACCATCTATAGTGAGATCTGGTGCCCTCTTCTGATGTGCAGACACACATGCAGGCAGAACACTATGTACATAATAAATAAATCTTAAAAAAAAAAGAAATGCCAACTACCATTTCTTACCTCTGTTTAAGTATCTAACAATAGCATAATTTAAAGATGGCGTCAAGTGTTCAGTACCTAAAATAAGCATTTTTCTTTCAAAATAAAGGGGTTATATACAAAAAATTTTAGTACTAAACAATGCTGAAAAAGATAAACTGGCCTAAAAAAATCAGCAAGGAAAAAATATTGCTTAGAATGTTCTTTTGAGTAATAAATGACTGTCCAATTCCTTCAGCTTGTTTGGAGTCACTGGCACAGAAGCACAGTTACTCATATACCTGGCCCATCCATGGCAGCTGACCGCTGTGAGGGAGAGGGATCTGGCAGCTTCAGGAGGGACGCTCGTGGAGTGGGAAGGAAGGACCAGACTCACCAGATGAACCCTGGTGGGTGACAATGTAACTGAGGCTGCAGCCAGAGGCCCTCGCATCCCACTCTCATGTTACTTGTGGTGTTAGGAGAGTTTGAAGAGAGAAAAAAATCAGAAAAGGGAAACTGAAATTTTGGAAAGATAAACAAATGTAAGCTGAGTATGAAATGTAAATCAAATAACAAACTCAGAATTCCTTCCTAGAACAGAAAAACCAACATTCAAACAAAAATTATTTTAGAAGATCAGACACCAAGTGCTACAAGTTGCATTCCCTGAGGTGCTGCAGACCTTGAAGGTCCCCCAAGCTGTCAAAGCTTCAAGGCATAACCTGACACGTCTCTAACACTTTGCTTTTCAACCAGAAAGCACTCTACTACTATGAACAGATGCCACAGAACAAAATAAAGAATAACTAGAACACCAAAGATTACTGAACTATAAAAATATGTAGTAAAGCCCAATTCCCATTTTACTGCAGATAAGAACATTATCGTCCCAAGAGACACAGATTTCTTTTTCCTTTTGCAAAGCTAATTTTTAAGTGAATAAATTATCACACAATTAGAATATTACTGGCCTAAAAAATCATAAGGTAATCACAGTATTTGGAAAATATTACACTTTTTGTTTCAAATGTATAATTTTTAAAAAAATAACAAATATGTAATTTAGATACATTCCAAGTATCATTAACTCTCTTTAAAAGAATATGAATATATTATGTCCTATAATATTTCCCTAATAATCTCTGCTGAGTTTCTCCTATGTGTGTCCCACTTAGCTCCTACTGACCAAGGCTAATAAACACTTAGAAATTTTCAACCAGGAAAAAAGATGCGAATCACATGTGGAAATAAACTTCACAGAAAAGTGTCCTGTCTTTCAGAAAGAGTCAAACACACCAGAAGAATCACTGATTTTAAACACGTAAGAAGAATCATTGATTTTAAACACGTGCTTTCTATTTGTCCTGTTAGTCAAACTGTCCCTACATAAAAGACAAAGTACGGGGCTGGAGAGATGGCTCAGTGGTTAAGAGCACTGACTATTCTTGCAGAGAACCTGGGGTTCAATTCCCAGCACCCACATGGCAGCTCACAACTGTCTGTAACTCCAAGATCTGATGCCCTCACACAGGCATACATGCAGGCAAAACACCAATGCACATGAAAAAATTATATATATTTTTTTTTCAATTTTGTACAATATCCTTTAATATATTATCTACTTTCTGTTCCTATATTTTAGGCTACAGTTGGGAAGGCCATAATATGTTTTTTGGAGAAGGAGAGGGAGAAGAGTAGGGGGAGGGAGAGAGGAGTAGGAGGAGGGGGAGGGAAATGGGAGGCTGGGAGGAGGCAGAAATTTTTTTTTCAATAAAAAAATAAATAAATAAAATTATATATTTTTTAAAAAATATAACATACTTGATTCACTATAGATCGATAGATGCCAGAATGAAAGCAAAATTTCTAATAAAAAGTCATTTCTGTAAATGAATACATGATTTTTGTTTATTTAAAAGTTAAACTTTAGAACAAAATTTAAAAGCAAAAGTATCTTTTTATTTTTCTGAAATAATATGTCCTAGCAGGATAAAACTGAAAATAAGGCAAAAGGCCTCATGTCAAACTTCAGGCCAACTGAAGGAGATGCAAACCTCCTGCTGAAAACAGTGAGAACACATTTATCCAAAGTCATACCCAAAAGAATTCTCCAATTTCTTTATTTGAGACTTGTAATCTCTTTTTCTGGTTGTCAACAAAATTACAGAGCTGAAAATTCATTCTGATGGAGAAAAATATGTATCAATAAAGTTTTGAAAATATATCTCAGGTAAGATGTAATTGTTTTTTTTATTCAGCAAATATTTATTTTATGCCTAGTATTGCACTAGGAAAAAAATAAAATGTAATGAAGTCCCTATTCTCATAAAATTGACTGCCAAGAATACAAAGAAGCTAAAAAATTAAAATCTGAGTGCACTGATGAATAGGCTACCAAGCAGGATGAGAAGATGGGAGTCAAAGACACATGAACTCAGTGTTCAAAATCAGCGG